ATCTATCTATTAACTAGCATTATTTAATCCTTTACACGATACGAGCACATATGATGCATGTCGTAACTCACAAAAGCATAGAATTTTACCCAATTTTAAATTGAAATAACTTTTGTCTCGGATTGTATAGCCAGAACATCCTTAGGGTTCGAAACACTAAAATTGACATTAAAGGAATTATCGTAATTTTTTAAGTTAAAGAATTTCTAACATTCGAGTTTTGAAAATTTTTGAAAATTTTAAAAATTCTATTGATAGTTCTGGATAGCATCTCAAGAGTATTAACGAAAGTTATTAACACCCCAAAGCTCTAAAATCAACATTGGAAAAGTTATTGGAGTTTTTTTTATCATGGATCAAAAAATCTATAGTACCCGAGGGGTGAAAATTTTTTTAGAGGTCCGGCAGTTCTGTTGGTAATTCTGGATAGTACCCCAAGAGTTCTGAAGATTATCTTTATGAATTATATCGCTAAAAGCAAAATTGAAAAAGTTCTTATCGATTCTGTTAGCTGGATTGAGAAATTTTTAAATGCAAAAAATTTTTTTGGAAAAAACTAATGTTTTCTTCGGAGTTCTAGGTAGCACCTCAAGCATTCTATCAAAAAGTATTAAAGCACAAAATCGATCCGAATTGGGTAAATGTGTATAAAAGATCAAACCTCACCGATTTTATCGCTACTTAAATATGTTGTAGAGGAGGTCTTTCTGCGTAATTCTACGCAAAAAGAAAGTTGGGGACGGCATTGGTTCAGATGAAATAGCAAATTGAAGTTTCACAATTTTAATACTTTTTTAAGATATTACTAGACATCACAGACGCGCGCTACGCGCGCGTTATTTAAATTTAATATTTTACTATTACTATGTAACACACTATATTACACTATTAACCACACAACTGTCAAAATATGCCATAATAGCCGCTTTTTGTAAAACTTATCTGAACACTTATTATGGAATTGTTACGAATGGAATCCAATCAAAATTATTCTATTTTTTCTACAAAACACAATAGAAATCTCTTGGAAATAATTAAATAATTCCGATCAGAATCCGTTCCGAATAATTCCATAAGACGTGCCCTAAAACAATTTTAAATGTTCAATAAATAAAGAAAAGTCTTTTTAAATGTATAATTGATACCAACATTACGTATTTATTATACATATATAATTATTACAGTACACACTTAACCGTTAACAATATATACATGAAAAGTCAAAACACGCGATCTGTGCAATGACAATCGCTCACGAAGTAATAAGCGTAGAGAGAGAACCAATCGACATCGCGAAAAAGCGACAACAAACTTCGATAGATTCGAGTATCGATGACATTCCTTTTTTAGAAGAGGAGGATAAAGTCACATTAGTTCTTAAGAGAAGTAATTTGCTAATATGTGTATATAGACAATACACATGTAGGCGGGGGAGGGGCTACCGATCGAATTGACCAATTTTTCACAATTTGTTAGAAGCTTTCACCATGCAACTACACGAATTTCTTGCAGCTTTGTTAACGATAATAATAAGTTGGTCAATTCGATTGTTGACAAAATACTCATGACTTTCCACACGAACCGTGGTGTCCACGGCGTGGTCCACTCCAACCCATCCCGCTTGCAGAGGAGGGGCAGTAGCCCCTGTTCCGCCTACGTGTGTATTGTCTATACACACATATCAGCAATTAAATTACTTCCCTAAAAAAATAACATATATTACAGCATATACAAACTTTAATGTCAAACTTCAATTTGTTGTATCTTAATTCTAAACTAATACCGTCCCCCACTTTTTTCTTGCGTAGAATTACTCAGAGAGACCCCTCTAACATATTTAAGTGGTGATAAAATCAGTGAGGTTTGACTTTTTATACACATTTACCCCCGAATTGAAATTAAAAAGTTATTGCCAATTTTGAATCATAAATCGTGAAAGTTGGCACAACAAAACTTCGAACCGCTCTTTTTGGGGTTAAATCGCTAGAACTCTTTCTAACCTATCAGGAACTCTTGAACTCTTTGGGTAAGGGGCTAGAGCTCCAACAATTATATCAAAATTCTAAAATTGAGGTGCTAACTTCACACTCTCTAAAAGAGAATCAGTGTATTTTTACTGAGAAACAGTAAATAGTCACTGATTGAAGCAGTTATAAGTATACCACTTAGAATCAGTGACATTTCACTGAAAGAATTAGTTATTATATCTGTTTCAATCAGTAATATTGGACTACTAGAAACAGTGACTTAAAACAGCAAAATCAGTAATGTGAGCTGATTAAATCAGTAATATTGACTATTTCAATCAGTAATATTATACTACTAAAACAGTGACTTTGAGCAGCAAAATCAGTAATGTGAACTGATTAAATCAGTAATATTGACTGTTTTACTCAGTAATATTGGACTACTGGAAACAGTGACTTTGAACAGCAAAATCAGTAATGCAAGCTGATTAAATCAGTAAATGTCCCAGCAAACAGTAACAAACAGTAATAACCTTAATACATGTTATAATTTTTTATTCAACAATGTAATTGTTACGTACAAAATGTTTACAGAATGAAGTCAATTAAAAATTAAACATTCCTCAGCTTACGAGCTTGTGCCTCTATGTTTGTTCTTTCCTAAAAAAAGATTTTTCTGTGTGTTAGCAAGTATTGATATATAACTTTTAAATGCACTAACCAAACTTACAGGCCATATCTGTATTAACGAAGAATTTGGAAAAATAGGAGAATCATCATGTTGTCCCTTATCAATGTTCTTCTGAAATTAAATATCCAAATATTTAAATCGTGTTTTAACAATCAATTTATACTAAGAAATTATAAGAATAAGAAATAAAAGACTTACTCCTTTTGATAAGTTTCCAACGATAACCGAGATTAATAATCTTATTCTGTTTGCTGTTCAGTTCTCTCGTTCAATACGCCGTGGTTTATGCTGAAAATGAAAAGGGAGAAACAGTCTCTAGTTTATCGTGCTTTACTATGGGCCCGTTGGGCCTCCATCTTTGCCCCGTTGGCAAACTATAACCTCGCCCCGTTGGGCCACCGTACTCGTCAGTACCCGCGGTAAATGAACTACAGCTCAAGAAGCTTTCGTACTTACTTTTAACCTCACCTTTTTCGCAAGCACTCTTAGCTCAGTACCGCAGTTTCTCTCATTCTTCGTAATGTACACTTAGCACCGCTTCGTCCTTCGTCACGTATACTTCGTTCTCGTCTTCTGTTTCACACATCACTGAGATCACAATCCTGTTCCGCTTCCTCGCACCATCAATCAGTATTACCAACAGATAACTGATTTTACAGTAACATCTTACTTTCACTGACCATAATCAGTAAAATATAAGATAAAGAAACAAAAAGTAAACATTCTACTGAAGTTCAGTGAAATACTCACTAATTCTCAGTGAAATCTTATTTTACTGTTTCAATTAGTGATATTTTCACTGATTTTACTTTAGAGAGCAGAGGTCTTATCGAGTACGATTCAGAACTTCCACATTTTCGACCAGAGCTCGTGATTTTTAAAATGCTTCGTAAAAGTGTATTGATTTAAAAAAATCGATATTTTGGAAACTGTAATAGTTAAAGCCTTAATTTTTTTCTTGTCTTATCGAGTGTGATTCAGAACTCTAACATTTGTTACCACAGAACTTGTTTTTAAAATATCTTTGATATTGGAAGTACATTTTTAAAATTAAAAACCGCGGAATGCTTCCTAAAAAGTATCAGGAACAATGTGTCCTTCTCAAAGAACCTTACAACTATGCTCAGAACTATCCCCAGATAGCACACATGTCTAAAAGATGTCTAAAAGATGTCGTAAAGATGTCTTTACGACGTTTTTTTAGACATACGTGCTGTCTGGGTCACAACTCAATTTGTAAAAAATCGTAGTTGGCAGCTCCATTTTTCGAAGTCAACTTTTATTATCATAATGATCGGAACTATTTCTAAATATTGTCAAGACCTCTTCCTTTGGTTCTAAATAACTTAGAACTCTTAACAGAACTACGATATCGTAATGTAAGGATGCTAACTTTACACACCTAACGAAATATGTAATACAGGTATTACTTGACAAGTTAATTCGATTAACTTAAATCACCGGCCCTTCATATCTCGCTTCGCTCCATTGCCTTTATTTCGTAAAGTTGTGATGTAAATAACGATATTTCCCATCATTTTTCTTAAGGATGATTTTGATTGAACTCCGATTATCTTAATCTACTTAATTAACTATCAAGTAACACCCAGTATTATTTCATTAATGTCGATAAATTATTATTTTTGTTAATATATGAGAAAAAGAAGTTCAAAAGTTCAATGAATTATGTAAGATAATTAATTTGAAATTAGAAATTTTGCCGATTGAATTAATCGCTGATTAAGTTAATCGGATTGTGGTTAAAGTCGTTCTGAAGTTTTAAAAGCTTTAAAACATTTTTTAATCAATTGTATCTTGAAGAATTCTGTTAAATTAAAATTAAGTTAATCAAATTAATTTAAATGGACCCCAACTGACACTCGTGTTTTCACATCGTTCACGAAGGAACAATGATGGATCAGTTTACGTGTGTGACACGTGTAGGTACACCGAATGCATTTATCTTTAATTTGGTTTATGTGGGACGTTCCACACAATTTGTGACCCTTATAACTAATTCTGGTATCGATTTTTACATAATACGATAGATTCATAATTTGAAAACTTTTTAATTTTCAAAATTGTACTTCTCTTAACTACAAATTGTAAGTCTATCGAATTCCACTAAAAGTTAATTGAATAATAGATCAGCTATTCGTCTATCCGAAGCTAAAATCTTATTTCCTCTTTTTAATGTATATAATTGATATTTCTACTGAAACAAAAATTGACTCTAAATTCGTCGTTGAATCTGTTATTAAAGTTAAATTTGTAATTGTTAAATTGTTAATCGTGGCATTTCATAATAGAGAACGAAATAAAAAAGTCTATTAAAGCGGCGCAATAGAAACTTAATATTTGGTCGAAATTTCTGACTGTTTTAGGACGCTAATCTAACATGGTACACAAACAATCCAGATCTAACAGAATGCTTCCAAAAGACGATATTAGTATGGGTGCCATGTATATTTTTGTGGGCGTTTTCGGCGATGGAAGCGTATTACTTTTTAAATAGCAAAAGGAGAAACGTCCCATACACGTGGTTATTTATTTCTAAGCAAGTACTTACAGTAGGATTAATTTTACTCTCCATAGTCGACTTAGGAGTGGCGATACACGCAAGTACTTATCGTACGGTCCACAATGTTGATTATTGCACACCCATTGTAAAAATTGTTAGCTTTGTAAGTATAACATTATTTTTTGTATTAATAGATCTTTAAATACATTTTTAAAATTATTTTTTTATAAATGTTTTAAAAATATTTTTCCCATTTCTGCTTTTGTCTATAAAATAAATTACTTAGTTTTGTAAATTCTCTGTACAATGTTTGACTTAAGTTCTCTAATTATTTCAGACGTTAGCATCGACTTTAATGCAATACAATAGAAAACATGGAATGCGGACGTCAGGTCTTTTATTCCTGTTTTGGTTTTTCCTTACAATATGTGGATGCGTCCAATATAGAAGTTTTGTAAACGAATTCATTAAAGGGGTATGTTGGATTTTCATAATAGCGAAGCTAAAAACGCATTAGAAGCAATTTAAGTGTAGATACACTTATAAACAGCATTTTCTACATTAAATTTTTTATAATTTTTTACAATTTCTTTGATCGCAACAGTATATCTCGTATTGTTAGCCTCTTATGATATTTTACAAGAAAGCTAGTGATTGTTATAATGCGGTTCATAAAGAAATAATTCTTATTTTTAGGCAGAACCGACGTACCCATTGGTGTCTTATATGATCTACTATCCGATAGTAGTGATATTGTTTGTACTTAATTTTCTGGTCGACGCAGAGCCTAAATTCTCTGAATATCCTACGGTAATATCTCTTGTATTGATTGATATAATACGTAATACCATTTAATGTATATTAAAGCGCATAAATATGTAAAATCTTAGAATTAAAACTGTAAGAAGCTATTGACAAACAATTTTGAAATATGTTCACTCACAGGTTGAATCGCCATGTCCAGAACAAAGTTCTTCTTTCCCTTCGAGAATGATTTTCGCGTGGTTCGATTCCTTAGCATGGAAGGGTTTCCGAAAACCGCTCGAAACGTCCGATTTGTGGTCCATGAATCCAGAGGACATGGCCACGGAGATCGTGCCGAAATTTGACAAATACTGGAATAAGAACTTGAGAAAGACAGACGAGTAAGTTTAATCGATAAATCTCTCTGTAAAAACCAAGGTTTCCTGCAATCAATATGAGTTAGTTGAGCTTCTTTAAAAAGCGCTTATTTAAAATTACGAGAAAAAAATAGGGAATATGTTTGTATTGACATTAACACGAATCATGTAAATTCGAAAGAAATATATTAAAAATGTTAAATTGTTGATAATGTACACATGTAGAATTGTTACTTTAGAAATTTTTTAAATCGGCCTGTTCGTGATAATACATTTTTAGAATATATTGCTGCATTATCTTATCCGCTTTATGGCTAACAGCATATTATTTGCATATACCTCATGTTGAAAAAATGTTTAGATTGCGGTATAACGTTCTTTGACAAAATATTTTTTAACAACATGTTCATACATTTCTTGTGCTAACAAGGCTGATTTGGACTTACTTTAGGTAGGATGTGTCGTATAACATGTCTCGATTATTTTTATCATTTAGCCTAATAAAAACATATATAACAGACGTTTTTTATACAGAGTAGAAAGTGCAAAAGCGTCGTACCGAAAAGCATCCGGACAAGTGGACTTTAACAGTGGTCGGAAAAAGAAAATCGCCTCCATCTTACCACCTATCTGCAAAGCTTTCGGAGCGACGTTCATGTTCGGTGCATTCCTGAAACTGATTCAAGATGTTATGACTTTTATTAGTCCACAAATATTAAAGTAAGTACACACAAATCCGAGACTGTTGACACAACATTCTACAAATTTCAAAAAAATACTAAGAGTTCTAGTAGCACTTTCTACAGTTCTACAGTTCCTGATAAAAATTTAAAAAAGTTCCCCATTTTTTATATTAAAAAATCGAATTTCCGTGCTGGTCGTAATTGTTAAACATTGTTTAAGATATTGTTAATGGGTTGAACTCTTTAAAGATAATTATTCTAAAAAAGCATAGAACTCTTATAAAACTCCTGAAAACTACCGTTAAATTGTTTAAAAATTATTAATTGGTGGAATATCGATCGTATATATGTGTAGAACTCGAATAACTATCGGAAACTCTTATCAAAAATGATAATATTCAAGGCGTTTCAGTACTTTAGAGGGGAGGATGTCATGCTAGATTTTCGAAGTTAGCACGACATTTTTTTAATTTTGATTTTTTAATATGAAGAATGCGGAACTTTTTTAATTTTTATCAGAAACTGTTAAACTATAGACAGTCCTATCAGAACTTTTAGTATTTTTTTGAAATTTATAGAATTTTGTGCCAACTTCATACACTCCATAAATCCTGGTTTATATCTCTAATTTTATTTTGTATTTTATGAAATAAACATGAGATAAAACGTTGATAATTTTACAAAATTGTTCTGATTTATCGTAATATGTTTTTTGTAATAATAATAATAATAATAATAATAATAATAATAATGATATAATAATAATAATAATAATAATAATATGATCTTTGTAATGCATCCCTTTTACTATATTTTTTAGGCTTTTGATTGATTTTACCGAAGGAGAGGAGCCAATGTGGAAAGGATACTTTTATTCTGCATTACTTTTAGTTACGGCAATACTTCAGACGCTGGTATTATCACAATATTTTCATCGTATGTTTTTGGTCGGGCTGCGTATACGTACTTCACTAATCGCGGCGATTTACCGCAAGGCGTTGAGACTGTCAAACGCGGCGAGGAAAGAAACCACGCTCGGCGAGATAGTGAACTTGATGTCCGTAGACGCTCAAAGATTCATGGACGTAACCGCGTACATAAACATGATCTGGTCGGCACCCCTGCAAATAGCCCTAGCTTTATATTTTCTCTGGAATATATTAGGGCCGGCTGTATTCGCTGGTTTAGCAGTTATGATCATTCTTATTCCTGTGAACGGATTGATCGCCAACAAAGTGAAGACGTTACAAATCAGACAGATGAAGTGCAAGGACGAGAGGGTAAAGTTGATGAACGAAGTACTTAACGGTATCAAAGTGTTGAAGCTCTACGCATGGGAACCTTCATTCGAACAGCAGATACTTGAAATTAGAGTCAAGGAGATTCAAGTGTTAAAAGAAGCAGCGTATTTGAACGCTGGTACGAGCTTTATATGGTCATGTGCACCCTTTTTGGTACGTTTCTTTTTTGAAATAACGAATTATACGTTATAATTAAATTAAAGACCTCAGAAATAAAGATCTTACGGGGCGCTCGTAACGTGATCGCCTTTTTCTCATCTCTCTCTTTTTTTTCCTTCTTTTTTTCAGTAAAATCTTTTATAACTTTTAGTATGAATTTAAAAGTTTTACAGTATATAACTTCACTTAGAAAAAATTTGTTGTCAAAATATGTGCCATGAAATGGCAATAAATATTCTTTCTTTTTCATTTCTGAAGTTTTCAGTTACTTGAATTAAATATTTTTTATATCTTTTTTATATTATCTTACCTTTTCATAAATGTACCTCTACAGGTATCTCTGGTATCTTTTACAACTTATGTACTTATAGACGAAAAGAACGTCCTAAATAGTACAATTGCCTTCGTTTCGCTCAGTTTGTTCAACATCTTAAGATTTCCACTGTCCATGCTGCCTATGATGATTGGTAATATAGTTCAAGTAAGTAATGCATATACATGATTTTCGTCTATTTACTTTAGAAATGTGCATTTATGTTAAAAAGTCTGACTGATATCTTTGTATACACGTTTACAGGCTTACGTCTCTGTAAAACGTATTAATAAATTTATGAATATGGAGGAACTGGATCCTAACAATGTACAGCACGATCCGTCCGATCGTAAGTGTAAAATTTTCTGTTTTAAAATAATATATGTCTGCATGGTGTATATATCTACAGTAAGCATTTTATCGCATTGATTTAGCACACGCGTTAGTAATTGAAAACGGTAGCTTCTGTTGGGACAGCGAAGAAATCGAGAGACCAATACTACGAAATATCAATTTCCATGTAGAACAAGGTCAATTAGTAGCAATAGTTGGTACAGTGGGATCAGGCAAGAGTTCCCTTCTATCCGCTCTGCTTGGCGAGATGGACAAATTAAACGGGAAAGTAAATACAAAAGTGAGTATTCTTTCGTTGAATCAGAAACATGAAATATAGAAGCAAAATTTACATTTCTCTTATTACAAAAACAGTAATAAAATTAAAGAAGAGAAAGAGGAAACCTTTCACAAGTCGCATTTATATAAGTAGCCTTCTTCTTATTATAAAAGAATTTAAGGAAAATGTAGTGTAAATTCTAAAATACATGTTTTTATTATATGCATTTAAAAATACAATATCAGACTGTAACTCTTAATTCAGTATTGATAAAATCATAAATATTTTGTTTCTATACATATCTCAGATTAAATAGATAAAGATATTAATTAGGATTTGAAGATTTTAATATTAAATATTTCTCTTAGGGGTCAATTGCATACGTCTCGCAGCAAGCGTGGATCCAAAATGCCACGTTGCAGGACAATGTTTTATTCGGAAAGGCCTTGAACAAATCAGTATATAACCGTGTGATTGAAGCATGTGCATTGACTCCGGATTTCAAAATGCTACCCGCGGGTGATCAAACGGAGATCGGGGAGAAAGGCATAAATTTGTCCGGCGGTCAAAAACAGAGAGTAGCCTTAGCTAGAGCTGTATATAACGATTCGGAAAATTATTTCTTAGACGATCCTCTGAGCGCAGTGGATTCGCACGTAGGAAAACACATTTTTGAGAAAGTGATAGGTCCGAATGGCCTATTGAGGAAGAAAACTAGAATACTTGTTACGCATAGCATCACGTACTTACCAGAGGTCGACAACATTATTGTTCTTAAAGACGGTGAGATAACAGAGAGTGGAACCTACAAACAATTACTGGAGAAAAAAGGCGCTTTTGCCGAATTCTTAGTACAGCACTTACAAGAAGGTATCTATTAATAATTTATGCTTTTGCTGCGTACTTTTATATTGTACTTATTATATAAATTTATTGTTACATTTTTCCTGGATTTAAGTTGGAAATCGTAAGTCCGCGAAAAAGTAATTACAATTCCTTGTCCTACTTTGTGTGCTTGCATAAGAAATACTATACTTGCGTGTAGCGATCGCTACAATGAAATATTTTTAAGTCAAAAGTTTTGCTATCTCTTTGTTTTAAGATTCTGCTTACCGACAAAGTAGTAATGAACAATTTATTTAGAATTAATTTTTCCTAATGTAATTAACTTGATATAGACGCTTTTGTATGATATAAAATTTTCTAACGCATAAAAAATTACATTTATATATTATAATTAAGATATGTCTTAATACAGATAATTATTAGTTTCCAGCTTTTTTATATTGAAATTTTCTGAAGTTATTGAATTAGGATGTTTGAATTTCTATAATATTATATTTCTATAATTTTGGATTATTCTATTTTTAGTTTAATTCCAACAAGAACGATTTCAATTCTCGTCTGATTATCCATTTTGTACTATAGTTAAAAATAATTAAAATGTACGCATGTGCGAGTTTTTTTTTGAATTTCTTCCCATTTGTACAATGATACAGCTTCCAAACAATTTATCATTATTCTAAAATTACATGACGAATTTGAAACAGTGCACGTTGATGACGGTTCTGAAGCAGATTTACGCGAAATTAAACAGCAGCTCGAATCAACAATGGGAGCGGACGAGCTACAACAAAAGTTAACTCGAGTACGGTCCAGAATATCCGAAAGTCTAAGTGAATCCGGTTCTGTAACCGATAGAAAATCACTTAATGGTTCTTTGACAAGGTATGATTTCATAAATATAATATTCCGTTACGTCAATTTACGTCGTTCGTACGGCGATTCAAATACGCGCAATATTAACTTGAAAATAATATACGTTGTGTACTGCTAGGCAATACTCGACGGAAAGCCAGCAGTCGGCGAATTACGTGCATAGCAATAGTACAAAGGAGAAAGAAGCATTGAAGCCTAACAACGTCGGAGAAAAGCTGATAGAAATCGAGAAAGCCGAAACTGGAAGCGTAAGTTGTGCGAGACATTGCTAATAATTAATTGTTAAAAAGACAATACATCTTCACAATTTGCTTTTTAGCAGGGAATAATTGCTTTTATACTTATGTATTGTATTATTTTTCCGCCAGGTAAAGTGGAAAGTATACTCTCATTACTTGAAATCCATTGGATGGTTCTTATCGATATCGACGATTGTGATGAACGCGGTCTTTCAATCGTTCAGCATTGGCTCGAGTGTCTGGCTCAGCGTTTGGTCGAATGATAATTCCGTTAGGAATGACACAATAGATACGGCGAAGCGTGATATGTACCTCGGAGTATACGGTGCACTTGGTTTCGGTCAAGGTACGTTTTCACGTCACACGTTAATTCTTGTAACATATTATCCGTTTGTCAGGTAGATTTGATCAGTATTGCATAAATTTTCGTGTTTACGATGGACGATATCAGGTAAGCCTACCCCCTATCGCTGCTACGTGTACCTGTATAAATATACATATCATTTTTCTACCGCAGAAGGCAATTACTTCATTTAATATAACGTTAACAGGCAATGGCACTTAATTTTGCTCGTCATAGAGTATTGCAATTCGAAAGGCATGTTCCTTCACAGATTACACATCTCATTGGGGTATAAATTAATCTTAACAGAGTTCCTTCATTTGTAAAACTCGATTGAGCCGAGTTAATGATAATCGAAAACGAAATAATTTAATTACTAACGTAATGATTTTTTTCGTTCCGAGTAATGTTATAAATTGTATATGCAAATATACGTCACATTACATGTTTAATTCTAAAAGTAATAATTTCTTTTAAAAAAATAAAACTGAGTGTGGTTTGCTGTGTCTACAGAGCACTAACGTTATTAATTAAGAACTCAAAAGGCAATTAGAGATTGAAACTTTTAAACAGCCATATGTTTATGATTGCAAGTGTCGTAGTAATTATTTTCTACAAATGATCGCTTTTTTACTATTGCATGAAATATTTCTGTTTGAAATGCCTTTTATTCGGTACAACTTGCACTTTCTGTTAAATAATTTATTAATCTTTATTAGTAACTTTTTCTACACGCGAGATTTTATATGTTAACTATAAATATATGATTGACTATAGACAAAAAATTATGCAAGAAAATTGTTGATGAACATATACACATATATATATATATATATATATATCAGACAGATATCAGATAGAGTTAGTAAATGAAACCGAACCATGAAAAATTTGTTCGGTTTTATTTACTAACTCTATTCTAACTCTATCTGATATCTGTCGGATGTACTATAAATAACACGTGACGCCTATTATTTTATATTTATATATTTAAAGTTTACTATAGAAAACAAGGATAATTTTTTTTTTATAATAATATGCTGTTACGTCTAATGTAAGCATGAAGTAGAGGAGCAAAAGAAAGCTTCCTAGCATTAATGTGTCTTAAAATGATTAAAAATAAAACGGGAAATCAGTCTGCGAACTATATTGATTAATTGACGATTTAAATACGTATGCCTCGGGAATCTAAATTGAAATCATTATAAAAAGTGAATGTAAATTGATCAAAATTATTCGTTTAACTAAACGCACGGTAACAGAAAATTTCGCAAAATATTCGCGCTGATTTCCTGATTAGGTAATTGCGTGTAAAAATTGAGCTGGATGACTATAAAGCGTAGTAACAACATATGTTAACCTAGACGAACTTAAACAGGCTTCCGACGGAGAAAGACTTGAGACATTTCTCATTAATCGCGATTACGTTTGTCTCTTTAAGGCTCCAGGGGCTCTTTCCGATATCTTGTGAGATTGTGATGTCAGAGGCGAGAAATAACACGCTGAGATTCTTGCATATTTCATTTCCAAATAAAAAGATATTTGCATAAAAGAACACTTCAGATCACTTCAACACACTTCAAAAATACTCCGAGATCTATCTCTTTCCCTTGACAGTTAATAAACAGCCGTAAAATGAATGTGATACGATGCAGGCTCATGCGCAGCACATGACTATCATATTACATTCATATTACATTCATTTTACGGCTGTTTATTAATAACTGTCAAGGGAAAGAGATAGACCTAACTTAACCTCGGAGTATTTTTGAAGTGTGAAGTGATCTGAAGTGTTATTTTATGCAAATATCTTTTTGGAAACGGCACGCAAGAATTCTCAACATTTCTCGCTTTGACGTAGTCATAATCTCACAAGATGTCGGAAAGAACCCAAGAGTCTTAATTTGGTACGTTCTTATCGATGAATTGTATTGTGCTTAAATTTTTGTTATATTTAAAAACGCACATTGACACATTTAGCACTAGCAATAAATGTGGCCAAATTCCTTGCTCGAATTATCTACTGTGTAAAATAGATTGTCATAACAATGACAATCAATGTAGTTAATAAAAATTAATTTGATAATGACATTTAAATGCTGATATTGTACATCTCTTTATATCCTCCTTTATGTATGTACATTCGTATTAATAGCGCATGTATATTGAATTGTGTATCGAGCAAAACGTGAAATTGCACAATCACATTTAACACTAAATATGTAATGAGAATGCGAGACCCAGTCTCGCATGTGTCGCAAATTTTTCTCCATCTCGAGCCACGACAATCAAACCAGTTTCGCTTTTTGTTTCGTTATTAACTTATTGTTATCGCTAATAACTAACATCAGCTACGTTAATGTGATTACATGCCTGATTGAAACGACAAAGACTCATTGTTCTTATACCTCCCATATAAAGACAATTTTTTTACAGCATCTAAATTTAACAGTATGCACATAATTACGCACATTAGCAAGTCAATTTGAACATTATAGTAAAACAAAACAATATAAATCGCGTGACAGTAATAATTTTTTTTTAACTTACAAGAGAGTAGTTGTAAGAAGGAAAAAACAATCTTCCCCCCCCCCTTCCCCGACATAACAAGAGACGCTGCATTTATTTACTTTAAATTAAATTTCAGCCACTTTTGTAGTGCTGTCGCAGACAGCGTTGGTTATCGGCTGCCTACGGAGCAGTAAACTATTGCATTCCGAGTTATTATTTGCCATGCTACGATCACCTTTAGGATTCTTTGACACTACGCCGTCCGGCAGAATATTAAACCGTTTTGGGAAGGATATTGACATAATAGACAACGTTTTACCTCCAAGTATTAGGGCTTGGTTGTTTTGTTTAGCATCGGTATGCGAGAGTTTTAATTTTAATCTCTATATGTATCACTATACGAATCAATGTTTAGCAGAAACCACTGGTCCACCAATCAGTACAAATATGATTAATTATATACCGACGATTAATTGAAGAGCTTCCGGATTTCTTGCAATCTCTATTCTTAATTAATATCCATTAATGATCAGTAGATGACTATCAAAAGCGCGCGTTATTAAAAAATTAATGAGTAATTGTACGCTCGGCCTGACACCATACGTCTCTTTTCTCACAGCACAATCATACAAAGTACCATCTCCATCACTTTTCTTATCTTATTGTTATTATATATATTACTCGCACTTTATTTCTCTCTCTACAATTTATTATTTGCACTCATATTTATTGTCTCTCTTTAATTATGTGCACCTCAATTCATGTGTGACTGCAGTGAGGAACTTGCATATTTACTTAGATGAATCAGGTGATGAGCAACTAATGAAAATGAACATTGCCGATTAGAGCCTTAAGATAACTCTCTTAGGGCCAAAGCACATATGACAGTCGTAGTCGTGGACGTAAGTAACGCACAAGCTTTGGCGTATCGTGATTTGTCAGGTCGAGGACTACGACCGTCGTATATCGTTACGCCATGTTATGTGCTTTGGCTCTTACTCATTCACTCACTCACTCACTCACTCACTCACTCACTCACTCACTCACTCA